AATGGTGGGTTATATCGTGTAACTATGTGTAGTTGAGGTCAACGATGGTACCACACACGCCACTTGTTTAGCCCCTTCCTCCGCTAAAGTGCGCCTCGATTGAATTTTTAATTGGAAACCACTTTGATCCGAATTATAGATGTTTTCTAGGCCATACGTAGCAAAATAAGGCTGAACTTTCAGCAGGTATTCGTCCGTTTCTTTTTGTAAAGCTTCTCGGTTCTCCAATGTTTTCCGCGTAACGAATTTATTGATCTTACGAGATGTAATACGGTGTGACTTTTTAAAATGATGCAGCCACCAGGGTAAAGCAGTGAATGATCATTTCCGCGTCAATAGCATTTTTCATATTTTTCAATGTGTACTCCAAAATGCATTTCAACTTCTTCATATATGTCCCTCCTTTGTTCATTTGTTGCGCCCAGCGTCGCAACTGTCGCCTTGATTTCACCTTTCTAAATCGATGTGAAACAGTATTTACAGAAAGATTTTCCTTCGTTTTTGTACTTCTCCAAAATTCAACTGCCTTTCTTTTATATTCAAAGTCTACAGGTTCCGCATCTTCCAAACAACTTGCAGATGATTCTGTAGTATGTGGTTGGAATTCTTTATCTTCAATCGCCATCATTTCTATATCTTTATAGGGCTCTTCAAAATCCAAAGATGTTTCTTCAATCATTTCAACGCGATTGTATTCCTCCATGGATTGAATTAATATCCTTTGGAAGGTGTCCGCTGATTCACGTTCCTCATGATTCAAAGGCGTTTCAGCAAGATTGCGAACTTCAAATGTTGTCATGAGAAGTCTGATAACGTTAATTTGATCAACTTTCATTATGAAACGGGCACAAAATACGATACCCACTGATGGACTGTTTTCCTTGGTGGACATATGGAGACTGATTGTGATTACATGAGGAATGAGAACAGAAAACACCAACATTGTAAGCCATACATATTTATCAGCGGAATGTTATTTTTAAATAAGAGAGGTGACATTCGGTTCGATATTTTTATAACTCCCGCATACTTCTCCGATAGACTTTTGTATTACCATGTGAAGTTTCGTAATAATATGTCCCACCAAACACGTTGTCGTGTGTGACGGATATTGAAGTTGAAAGGTTTCGAAGACTAAAATGACGTATTGGCATTTATTAACATCAAGTTATGGGGACTAGTCGTGGGGGGTTATATTCTGTAGTGCAAGTTAAGATGGCAGCTAGAGTAAGTTGCTGTTCTGTCATCCTTGTTGTTATTCTTGTAGGGTTTGAAAATTAGGATCGGGTTCAGAGAGTAGATATGAATAAAGAAATTGCCCGGATGAAGAGTGGATATACTACTCGAAACGTCGGCAAAGTAGATAATTTTTGATGAGTTTGTTTTAAATTGAGTAAATTTCTGAAGACCGCATAATGGCCTGGAGGGGAAGGAGTTTTTCTAGTAATAATATGTCCTCATTAAAATCTCATTAAACACGATATAAACACCGCGGCCGCAAGGTCATCTCATTCTCATGTTATTTTCATTTCATTATATTCTACACCACTAACGATCACTGGCCAATTTTTTTCCAGGAAAGATCTAAAAAATATACACTGTATTTTCGTGTGCTCTTTCAAATCGAAATAATACCATGAAAGTTTGAGTAATATTCTTTTTTATTAGAAAAATGCCTCTTCACAGGGGTAGTATGCCCCCTGAATTCTCCTCTCCCCCGGAAAACGAGTTCCATCATTTTCTTCATTATTTTCCACGAGCTGTATGATAGAGTGCATAAAAGTTCGAATTCGGCACATTTCAAGAAATTGATCTTTTTCTTTCTTCAAATTGCAATTAGAAAGAAAATGCGAAGGAAATCATTTTATCTTCTTTCATGCCTTTCGATTTCATGAAACTCGAAGCAATATTTTTTTTCTTAATGAAAGAAATGACTTTTCACGGGGGTAGTTTACCCTCTAAATTTCTCCCCCCGGGGTCGATTCCAATTGTTTTTTCCATTATTTCCTATGAGCTATGTGTTATAATGAGAACATTTTCAAAGTTGGCACATTTCAGAAAATTGATTTTCTTTGCCTTTAAATTGCAATTCCAAAAAAATTCACAAAAAGGTATCCTGTATTTTTTCATGCAGAGTCCAATGAAATTGGTTTCATGAAATCCGGAACAGTAGTTTTTTTTTTATAAAAAAAAATGACTCTTCACGGGAGTAGTTTACCTCCCAAATTTCACACCTCGGAGATGAATTCAATTTCTATTTTCATAATTTTCCATTGTCTTCCTGTTATATTTCAAAACTTTTGCCTAAACATTGTCCTTATAGGCGCAACTGAAGAAATACCCCGAGAGGTGGTCACCTTCGGAGGGCAGAGTCACCCCCTAAACCCGCGTATAGGCGGATAAAAAAAATACGAGTTACTTAATTTTGAGTCCTCTATAACATATATAAAGTTCATCGAAATTGGGGGGGGGACGCCTACCCAGTGTTCCTTGTGAGTCAGGAGCATACGGTTCTTGATCAAGAGATGGATATAGAAAAAACTAATTTTATGTCTTGATATCGTCATTTAGAATTATCGTGAGGATACAGCTCTGAGATGATAACGAGATCGAGCTTCAACTCCCGCGCCATCTGCATAAGCAGGTCATGTGCGGCCTCACAATGGTTGAGGTTGAGTTGGAGTCCTTCGTCGCTTGTTGAGGACCTTCTGAAGTGCCTCCTTATACACTGGGCATCTGCTGCTACCAGCACTGTGGGCACAATTCTCCGTATTGCCTTTCTCAGTGCACAAGGCGCATACAGGCCTCTCCTTGCAGTTTGAAGCCTTGTGACCAGTTACTGTGGATTTGATGCAGAGTTTGGTCCGGCAACTGCACTCGTGCAATTCGTGGCGAAATGTCCGTAGTGCTAGCACTTGAAGCACTTTACCGGTCTCTCGCCCAGGATCTTCTTCGTTGTAGCTTCTGCGAGTCTCACTGAGGCAGTCTGGGTTCATATCCATATCCCTTACGGAAGGATTTGATGGTGTCCCTTCATCGTAGTCTCGTCGAGATCTTCAATCTCGAGATCTGCATGTGGCCCTTTACTGACCACCTCGGCCTCATACCCGAGGAGGTTGGCGACGGTTTTGTGTAGCTGAGAGGCGCCAGCAGTGGACTTCCTACTCATTATGATGAACCCATACACGGGCTTGGTCTATCGGGACGTCTCATTTGATTCGAGTAAGGATCTCCGAATACTTGAGCTTGTCCTCCGGTCGGATAATCAGCGCATCAGGTCTAACGGCTGGTTTCCTCTTCACCTTCTTCTTCTGGGCTGATTC